TGACAGCACCTGAAGTGGGCAAGCTGACAGCACCTGAAGTGAGAGCTGACAGCACCTGAAGTGACCGAGCTGACAACACCTGAAGTGAGAGCTGACAGCACCTGAAGTGAGAGCTGACAGCACCTGAAGTGAGCGAGCTGACAGCACCTGAAGTGAGAGCTGACAGCACCTGAAGTGAGAGCTGACAGCACCTGAAGTGAGCGAGCTGACAGCGCCTGAAGTGAGCGAGCTGACAGCACCTGAAGTGAGCGAGCTGACAGCACCTGAAGTGAGCGAGCTGACAGCACCTGAAGTGAGAGCTGACAGCACCTGAAGTGAGCGAGCTGACAGCACCTGAAGTGAGTGAGCTGACAGCACCTGAAGTGAGCGAGCTGACAGCACCTGAAGTGAAAGCTGACAGCACCTGAAGTGAGCGAGCTGACAGCACCTGAAGTGAGAGCTGACAGCACCTGAAGTGAGAGCTGACAGCACCTGAAGTGAGCGAGCTGACAGCACCTGAAGTGAGCGAGCTGACAGCACCTGAAGTGAGCAAGCTGACAGCACCTGAAGTGAGCGAGCGACAGCGCCTGAAGTGAGCGAGCTGACAGCACCTGAAGTGAGCAAGCTGACAGCACCTGAAGTGAGCAAGCTGACAGCACCTGAAGTGAGCAAGCTGACAGCACCTGAAGTGAGCAAGCTGACAGCACCTGAAGTGAGCGAGCTGACAGCACCTGAAGTGAGCAAGCTGACAGCACCTGAAGTGAGCAAGCTGACAGCACCTGAAGTAGCAAGCTGACAGCACCTGAAGTGAGCAAGCTGACAGCACCTGAAGTGAGCAAGCTGACAGCACCTGAAGTGAGCAAGCTGACAGCACGTGAAGTGAGCGAGCTGACAGCACCTGAAGTGAGCGAGCTGACAGCACCTGAAGTGAGCGAGCTGACAGCACCTGAAGTGAGAGAGCTGACAGCACCTGAAGTGAGCGAGCTGACAGCACCTGAAGTGAGCGAGCTGACAGCTCCTCAACTAAGAGAGCTGATAGCACCTGAAGTGAGAGAGCTGACAGCACCTGAAGTGAGCGAGCTGACAGCACCTGAAGTGAACGAGCTGAAAACACCTGAAATGAGCAAGCTGACAACACCTGAAGTGAGCGAGCTGACTACACCTGAAGTGAGCGAACTGACAACACCTGAAGTGAGCAAGCTGACAACACCTGAAGGGAGCAAGCTGACAACACCTGAAGTGAGCAAGCTGACAACACCTGAAGTGGGCAACATGACAACACCTGAAGTGAGCGAGCTGACAACACCTGAAGTGAGCAAGCTAACAACACCTGAAGTGAGCAAGCTGACAACACCTGAAGTGAGCGAGCTGACAACACCTGAAGTGAGCGAGCTGACAACACCTGAAGTGAGCAAGCTGACAACACCTGAAGTGAGCAAGCTAACAACACCTGAAGTGAGCAAGCTGACAACACCTGAAGTGAGCGAGCTGACAACACCTGAAGTGAGCAAGCTGGCAACACCTGAAGTGAGCAAGCTGACAACACCTGAAGTGAGCGAGCTGACAACACTTGAAGTGAGCGAGCTGACAACTCCTGAAGAGAGCAAGCTAACAACACCTGAAGTGAGCGAGCTGGCAACACCTGAAGTGAGCGAGCTGGCAACACCTGAAGTGAGCGAGCTGACAACACCTGAAGTGAGCAAGCTGACAACACCTGAAGTGAGCGAGCTGACAACACCTGAAGTGAGCAAGCTGACAACACCTAAAGTGAGCGAGCTGACAACACCTGAAGTGAGCGAGCTGACAACACCTGAAGTGAGCAAGCTGACCACCTAAAGTGAGCGAGCTGGCAACACCTGAAGTGAGCGAGCTGACAACACCTGAAGTGAGCGAGCTGACAGCACCTGAAGTGAGCAAGCTGACAGCACCTGAAGTGAGCAAGCTGACAGCACCTGAAGTGAGCAAGCTGACAGCACCTGAAGTGAGCGAGCTGACAGCACCTGAAGTGAGCGAGCTGACAGCACCTGAAGTGAGCGAGCTGACAGCACCTGAAGTGAGAGAGCTGACAGCACCTGAAGTGAGCGAGCTGACAGCACCTGAAGTGAGGCGAGCTGACAGCTCCTCAACTAAGAGACTGATACACCTGAAGTGAGAGAGCTGACAGCACCTGAAGTGAGCGAGCTGACAGCACCTGAAGTGAACGAGCTGAAAACACCTGAAATGAGCAAGCTGACAACACCTGAAGTGAGCGAGCTGACAACACCTGAAGTGAGCGAACTGACAACACCTGAAGTGAGCAAGCTGACAACACCTGAAGGGAGCAAGCTGACAACACCTGAAGTGAGCGAGCTGACAACACCTGAAGTGAGCGAGCTGACAACACCTGAAGTGAGCGAGCTGACAACACCTGAAGTGAGCGAGCTGACAACACCTGAAGTGAGCGAGCTGACAACACCTGAAGTGAGTGAACTGACAACACCTGAAGTGAGCAAGCTGACAACACCTGAAGTGAGCAAGCTGACAACACCTGAAGTGAGCGAGCTGACAACACCTGAAGTGAGCGACTGACAACACACCTGAAGTGAGCGAGCTGACAACACCTGAAGTGAGCGAGCTGACAACACCTGAAGTGAGCGAGCTGACAACACCTGAAGTGAGCGAGCTGACAACACCTGAAGTGAGCGAGCTGACAACACCTGAAGTGAGCGAGCTGAGGTTATACCTCAGCTCGCTCACGGCAGAACATGAGGCGGCAGAACAAGTCACCGCTGACAATAAAGACGATACAGAGAAAAGAACATTAGAGACTAAGTACGATAGATAACATTTGTAAAAGACAGTTTCTTCTGACGATTCAACTTTTGTAAGTGGCAGCTTGTGTAAGTGTCAGCTTGTGTAAGTGGCAGCTTGTGTAAGTGGCAGCTTGTGTAAGTGGCAGCTTGTGTAAGTGTCAGCTTGTGTAAGTGGCAGCTTGTGTAAGTGTCAGCTTGTGTAAGTGGCAGCTTGTGTAAGTGGCAGCTTGTGTAAGTGGCAGCTTGTGTAAGTGGCAGCTTGTGTAAGTGGCAGCTTGTGTAAGTGGCAGCTTGTGTAAGTGTCAACTTGTGTAAGTGGCAGCTTGTGTAAGTGGCAGCTTGTGTAAGTGGCAGCTTGTGTAAGTGGCAGCTTGTGTAAGTGGCAGCTTGTGTAAGTGCAGCTTGTGTAAGTGGCAGCTTGTGTAAGTGGCAGCTTGTGTAAGTGGCAGCTTGTGTAAGTGGCAACTTGTGTAAGTGGCAGCTTGTGTAAGTGGCAGCTTGTGTAAGTGGCAGCTTGTGTAAGTGGCAGCTTGTGTAATGTGCAGCTGTGTAAGTGGCAGCTTGTGTAAGTGGCAGCTTGTGTAAGTGGCAGCTTGTGTAAGTGGCAGCTTGTGTAAGTGGCAACTTGTGTAAGTGGCAGCTTGTGTAAGTGGCAGCTTTGTAAGTGGCAGCTTGTGTAAGTGCAGCTTGTGTAAGTGGCAGCTTGTGTAAGTGGCAGCTTGTGTAAGTGGCAACTTGTGTAAGTGGCAGCTTGTGTAAGTGGCAGCTTGTGTAAGTGGCAACTTGTGTAAGTGGCAGCTTGTGTAAGTGGCAGCTTGTGTAAGTGGCAGCTTGTGTAAGTGGCAGCTTGTGTAAGTGGCAGCTTTTGTAAGTGGCAGCTTGTGTAAGTGGCAGCTTGTGTAAGTGGCAGCTTGTGTAAGTGTCAGCTTGTGTAAGTGGCAGCTTGTGTAAGTGTCAGCTTGTGTAAGTGGCAGCTTGTGTAAGTGGCAGCTTGTGTAAGTGGCAGCTTGTGTAAGTGGCAGCTTGTGTAAGTGTCAGCTTGTGTAAGTGTCAGCTTGTGTAAGTGGCAGCTTGTGTAAGTGGCAGCTTGTGTAAGTGGCAGCTTGTGTAAGTGGCAGCTTGTGTAAGTGGCAGCTTGTGTAAGTGGCAGCTTGTGTAAGTGGCAGCTTGTGTAAGTGGCAGCTTGTGTAAGTGGCGGAGAAGAGACACAAGAGGGAAGGAAGGAGGAGAAAATTTTAGAAATTAAAACCTAAAATACTAAAAATGTTATAAATCTAGTGAGAAGAGTACAAAATGGAGAGTAATAAATACATATATCCACTATGTAATAATACACCAGAAAAACAAAAGATGGTGGGATAAGCGAAGGAAATAAATGGTATAAAATACCGACACAATGGAAATATAAACACATATGCAGTATGTGATCCTTTATTGACAACGTTTCGCCCACACAGTGGGCTTTTTCAAGTCACAAGCAGATCTACCTGGGGTGGAAGGTACGCGGATATTTATAATCAAGTTCAGAATGTTGTGGTCAGGTGGAGAATGCTGCATCTGATGATGTACCGAGTGGGGTTATGGAGTCTAAAATCTTGGGTAGCTTGGAAGGGAGATTGGATAAGTTTGTGAGCAGACCTTCTGCAGTGTTCTTCCATTCCTAAGCGAAGGATTACATAAGATACTTAGGAAATTACTGGTGAAAAGTGACCATGAAAAGTAAAGAATTTTCATACTTGGAGATTTTAACTAAACTGAACAACCTATGAGGCTGGAACAGAAAATAATTGGTCAATAGACTTCTTCATAATGAAGTTTTTCTATACATCAACAAGAAAATGAAGCGAGAAGAGTGAGAGGAAACAACAACACAGGTAATATTAGATGCAGTGTTTACTCCAACAGCGGAAGAAATTTTCAACCAGAATTGTATAAAATTAGTCAAGGTTAGTTGAACATCAGGCAGTAATATACTGCCCCAGTCAACTGTCTTCTCTCTATATTAGATATTAGATGAGACAATACCTTAAGAGAATGAAGATGATAACTCAATCATCAGAGTTATGTTAGTGATAACACAGACACTGAGGAAGATAGAGGCAGTGGATCTGTTATTTTAATCTGTGTCAATGAGGAATATGATTGTTATGTCAGTGGTAACACGAAGTGAGGAAGGTAGAGGCAGTAACAGCAAGTGAAGCTTGATACAGTTATGTGTTACACGTGTCACCTATGTATGCTACACACTGACACATTCATTCTATTCTCTGTTGCAGGTGATGGCTGTTAGTGTAGTCAAGTGTTGGGTGTCGCTGGTGTGTTGCTGCCTACTGTTGGCGCACCTCAACACTGCAGTCCCAACACCACCAGACTATGATGGTAAGTCCCACACCAGGGAAGACCAACACAGCAGTCCAACACCACCAGACTATGATGGTAAGTCCCACACCAGGGAAGACCAACACAGCAGTCCAACACCACCAGACTATGATGGTAAGTCCCACACCAGGGAAGACCAACACAGCAGTCCAACACCACCAGACTATGATGGTAAGTCCACACCAGGGAAGACCAACACAGCAGTCCCAACACCACCAGACTATGATGGTAAGTCCCACACCAGGGAAGACCAACACAGCAGTCCAACACCACCAGACATGATGGTAAGTCCCACACCAGGGAAGACTAACACAGCAGTCCAACACCACCAGACTATGATGGTAAGTCCCACACCAGGGAAGACTAACACAGCAGTCCAACACCACCAGACTATGATGGTAAGTCCCACACCAGGAAGACCAACACAGCAGTCCAACACCACCAGACTATGATGGTAAGTCCCACACCAGGGAAGACTAACACAGCAGTCCAACACCACCAGACTATGATGGTAAGTCCCACACCAGGGAAGACTAACACAGCAGTCCAACACCACCAGACTATGATGGTAAGGTCCCACACCAGGGAAGACCAACACAGCAGTCCAACACCACCAGACTATGATGGTAAGTCCCACACCAGGGAAGACCAACACAGCAGTCCAACACCACCAGACTATGATGGTAAGTCCCACACCAGGGAAGACTAACACAGCAGTCCAACACCACCAGACTATGATGGTAAGTCCCACACCAGGGAAGACCAACACAGCAGTCCAACACCACCAGACTACAACAGTAAGTCCCACACCAGGACAGACCAACACCACCAGACTACAAGAGTAAGTCCCACACCAGGACAGACCAACACCACCAGACACAACAGTAAGTCCCACACCAGGACAGACCAACACCACCAGACACAACAGTAAGTCCCACACCAGGACAGAGACCAACACCACCAGACACAACAGTAAGTCCCACACCAGGACAGACCAACACCACCACACTACAACAGTAAGTCCTACACCAGGACAGACCAACACCACCAGACACAACAGTAAGTCCCACACCAGGACAGACCAACACCACCAGACACAACAGTAAGTCCCACACCAGGACAGACCAACACACCAGACACACAGTAAGTCCCACACCAGGACGACCAACACCACCACACTACAACAGTAAGTCCCTACACCAGGACAGACCAACACCACCAGACACAACAGTAAGTCCCACACCAGGACAGACCAACACCACCAGACACAACAGTAAGTCCCCACCAGGACAGACCAACACCACCAGACACAACAGTAAGTCCCACACACCAGGACAGACCAACACCACCAGACACAACAGTAAGTCCCACACCAGGACAGACCAACACCACCAGACACAACAGTAAGTCCCACACCAGGACAGACCAACACCACCAGACACAACAGTAAGTCCCACACCAGGACAGACCAACACCACCAGACTACAACAGTAAGTCCCACACCAGGACAGACCAACACCACCAGACTACAACAGTAAGTCCCACACCAGGACAGACCAACACCACCAGACTACAACAGTAAGTCCCACACCAGGACACACAAAGCCCCATCACTCACACCTTATTAACATCCAACGCAAACTTAAGTTTCTACAATATTCTTCGTGTTCCTCGTGAAACCTTCAACGAATATTGAACATCAAGCTGAAATTAAAACATTTCTTATATTCTCTTTACATTACTGTGGTCTGCTGTGTCTCCTTTCACAGTAGATTATCTTGCACTATATTACCAACATTAACTCACAATATTGTATGGGTACAGTGCTCCTGATAACGCTGGAGTCAACATACATATATATGCACATGTAAATATGAACACACACTTATACATATGCTTAAGCTTGTGTAATTTTTTATAAATTATGTAGCATTAGTGTTTTGTTAGTGTTGTGCCCTGTTGTTGTTGCCGGCACTGAGGTAGAGTGTTGTTGTTGCCGGCACTGAGGTAGAGTGTTGTTGTTGCCGGCACTGAGGTAGAGTGTTGTTGTTGCCAGCACTGAGGTGTAGAGTTTGTTGTTGCCGGCACTGAGGTAGAGTGTTGTTGTTGCCGGCACTGAGGTAGAGTGTTGTTGTTGCCGGCACTGAGGTAGAGTGTTGTTGTTGCCGGCACTGAGGTAGAGTGTTGTTGTTGCCAGCACTGAGGTAGAGTGTTGTTGTTGCCGGCACTGAGGTAGAGTGTTGTTGTTGCCGGCACTGAGGTAGAGTGTTGTTGTTGCCGCCACTGAGGTAGAGTGTTGTTGTTGCCGCCACTGAGGTAGAGTGTTGTTGTTGCCGCCACTGAGGTAGAGTGTTGTTGTTGCCGCCACTGAGGTAGAGTGGGTTAGGGTTGTGAGGTGCGGGGATGATTTTCTCCCATCACTGAGGTGGAGGAAGCCATGGTTACGGGATGCCACCCACTCAGATATAAACGCCCACGCCCACCCACCCACAACCACCCACGCCCACATAACAACTATCCAAGCCCACATGTCAACAACCACCCACGCCCACATGTCAACAACCACCCACGCCCACATGTAAAAACAACCGCCCACGCCCACATGTCAACAACCACCCACGCCCACATGTCAACAACCACCCACGCCCACATGTCAACAACCACCCACGCCCACATGTCAACAACCACCCACGCCCACAAACAAGGGGACAGGAGCTAGCTTCTAACAATAATGAGGTTGGAAATTTCTTTTGATCAACTGTGAGAGTTGTGATCAATTATTAGGAAAAAAGCTTCTAAACTGAATAATTACCTGTAAAATGTTCAATTAGCAAGTCTCATTAGTTGAGAGAGAGAGAGAGAGAGAGAGAGAGAGAGAGAGAGAGAGCCAGATAGACAGACAGAGACAGAGAGAATGAGACAGACAGACAAACAGACAGAGGACAGATAGACAGAGAGACAGACAGAGAGACAGAGAGACAGAGAGAAACAGAGAGAGAGAGAGAGAGAGAGAGAGAGAGAGGGGAGAGAGAGGAGAGAGAGACGAGAGGAGAGGAGAGGAGAGAGGATGAGGAGAGAGAGAGAGAGAGAGGAGCCAGATGAGAGAGACAGACGAATGACAGAGACGAGACAGAGACCAGAGAACCAGTAGACAGAGAAAGAGGAGGAGAGAAAGAGAGAGGGAGAGAGAGAGAGAGAGAGAGAAGACGCAGACAGACAGCAGACAGAGACAGACAGACAGACAGAACAGACAGACAGACAGGACTAGAGAGATAGACAGACAGACAGATAGGCAGACAGACAGACAGACAGAGACATAGAAGCAGAGAGAGAGAGAGAGAGAGAGAGACAGAGAGAGAGAGAGAGAGAGAAAGAGAGAAAGAGTGAGAGAAAATTTGATAAAATGCGACAGTAACATCACAGTAATTGTTACAAAAACATCACAGCAGTTGTTACAGAAACATCACAGTAGTTGTTACAGAAACATCACAGTAGTTGTTACAGAAACATCACAGTAGTTGTTACAGAAACATCACAGTAGTTGTTACAGGAACATCACAGTAGTTGTTACAGTAACATCACAGTAATTGTTACAGAAACATCACAGCAGTTGTTACAGTAACATCACAGTAGTTGTTACAGTAACATCACAGTAGTTGTTACAGTAATATCACAGTAATTGTTACAGAAACATCACAGCAGTTGTTACAGAAACATCACAGTAGTTGTTACAGAAACATCACAGTAGTTGTTACAGAAATATCACAGTAGTTGTTACAGTAACATCACAGTAATTGTTACAGTAACATCACAGTAGTTGTTACAGTAACATCACAGTAATTGTTACAGAAACATCACAGCAGTTGTTACAGAAACATCACAGTAGTTGTTACAGAAACATCACAGTAGTTGTTACAGAAACATCACAGTAGTTGTTACAGAAACATCACAGTAGTTGTTACAGGAGCATCACAGTAGTTGTTACAGTAACATCACAGTAGTTGTTACAGAACCATCACAGTAGTTGTTACAGTAACATCACAGTAGTTGTTACAGTAACATCACAGTAGTTGTTACAGTAACATCACAGTAGTTGTTACAGTAACATCACAGTAGTTGTTACAGTAACATCACAGTAGTTGTTACAGTAACATCACAGTAGTTGTTACAGTAACATCACAGTAGTTGTTACAGTAACATCACAGTAGTTGTTAAAGTAACATCACAGTAGTTGTTACAGTAACATCACAGTAGTTGTTACAGTAACATCACAGTAGTTGTTACAGTAACATCACAATAGTTGTTACAGTAACATCACAGTAGTTGTTACAGTAACATCACAGTAGTTGTTACAGTAACATCACAGTAGTTGTTACAGAAACATCACAGTAGTTGTTACAGAAACATCACAGTAGTTGTTACAGAAACATCACAGTAGTTGTTACAGAAACATCACAGTAGTTGTTACAGTAATATCACAGTAGTTGTTACAGAAACATCACAGTAGTTGTTACAGAAACATCACAGTAGTTGTTACAGTAACATCACAGTAGTTGTTACAGTAACATCACAGTAGTTGTTACAGTAACATCACAGCAGTTGTTGCAGTAACATCACAGTAGTTGTTACAGTAATATCACAGTAGTTGTTACAGAAACATCACAGTAGTTGTTACAGTAACATCACAGTAGTTGTTACAGTAACATCACAGTAGATGTTACAGTAACATCACAGTAGTTGTTACAGTAACATCACAGTAGTTGTTACAGAAACATCACAGTAGTTGTTACAGAAAAATCACAGTAGTTGTTACAGTAGCATCACAGTAGTTGTTACAGTAACATCACAGTAGTTGTTACAGTAACACCACAGTAGTTGTTGCAGTAACATCGCAGTAGTTGTTACAGTAAATCACACAGTAGTTGTTACTGTAACACACAGTAGTTGTTACGGTAATATCACAGTAGTTGTTACAGTAACACCACAGTAGTTGTTACAGT